AAAAAAAATGAATGAAACAATATAGTAGCAGAAAAAATAGAAGTGAATGTATCAAGTTGTCCTACACGTATCAGCAAATAGTAGGTAAGAGCTTAAAACAATGAACAAGCGGAATATGAATGTAAAAGCAAGCCATGTAGAGACCACTATCTGTTCAATCGATTACCAACCTTCAGTTGGGTAAGCAATCATCTAATGGAAAGTAAGCAGAACAAAAAAAAAGTGTGTGTGCAGCCCTTTCAAGAGTGAAATTTTTTTGATATCTTTCTCTTTCCGAACCGTCCGTGTCTCGGCATCCTTCCCTTGCTAGTTCCATGTTAGGCGCAAACTATTTATTACTTAAACTTTATTTCTTCTCCGTTAGCCACTTAAGTGATAAAAAATCCTTGCTCAAGATATGGGACGGGTGCAGCAAAAGCTGGACATTATGTCTGCCGTCCTTCAGAATAAATATTTTTGCGTGCGGTGAGGAAATGTTCCTCTAGTTGCATATTTCTTCTAATAAATCCTCATGTCCATGTGTTTAAGGTCAGGGCTATCTTTTGGAAAATTTCCTTGTCGTTCTCGCTTGATTTATCTTTCTTCGCTTATATGTGGCATTATTATCATCTGTGCAGACGAAACAGGCATATTAACTCTGAAGAAGACCTTTCCAAATGATCTCACTTTTGCTTTATGCCCTAACCACTCTCCATTCTGGCACCCAAGTGACACTAACTCCCTTATCACTAGTTTTTTGCAGCCTTTTATGAGCATTTTCAGGTGATTTTGTGCTTCCTCAGGAGGATGTTGCGCACTTGAGACAAGAAGTGCTTAATCAAGTGGACATGCTCGAGATTCAGCAGATCACACCTGAAAAGAAACTGTTAATGTGGGTCTTTCATGACTTTTTATTCTATGAACTTCATTGTCACATGTTTAGGCTTCGTAAAGCCCATCCCTGGTTGTTTGAATGGCCGTGCCTCTATGCGGATGTACTGGAGCTTTTGGATGAGTACCGGTTTAAGTCCAAATCGCGTGCCTTTCTTCAAGAGATTTTTTATAATGCTTTAAAACTGTGATACCTTAAGATCTGCCAAGCACTCGTCACTCCAGTCAAACGTCCTAGTCATTGAGCTTACAAATTTATTACTTGTGCTTTTCTGCTTGCATTGTTGCTTATTATTCAGGTTGTACATCAGAGATCAAGATTTCATTGTCATCGCGCTTGCTGTTCTACCTGTCACATGAATTAATTTTGCTTACATTCATTGAACAGGAGAATTTATAATATCGAACATGATGTATACGCGAACCTAGAACATACCGTAGATATTGTTTTTTGCTTCATGAACTCTTTAATGCTGTACATTCCATTCCATGTTACATGTATATACTATCATCGTGCCATTTTCTTTTTTGCAGGCGATTACATATAAAAAAATGCTCAGTAGAATGTTCTACAGTATATGCTCAAATATTGAATTTTGAATAATGTTGTATAAATGAAGTGAACTTAGATTAATTTAGTTGTTGTTACAATGCTTGGTTGGTGGTCACTCGAAAATTGTAATGCGTACGCATCGAATGATGTTCGTAGCGTTCAACTAGAATGAAGATTCAGGGTCGAAACCTCTAT